AGCAAAAGAAGAGTCATTGGCTGAATTTGTGGGAAAATTGAGATGTAAAATAAGAAATCTGAATGAGCTATATACCTTAAGAATGGAAAAGAAGGGAAGGTGAGAAAAAGAAAGATGAGTGAAGTTGAAAGGTTGAATCAAGATGTGGAAGGGGATAAGAAAATCAGTGAGAGAAAGGGCAGGGGTAGGAAAGGAGAAAAATAGGAAGAAAGCAGGTTAGGGACAGAATAAGAAGGCAATATGAAGATCGTGAGTTGGAATGTGAGAGGATTTGGAAATGCAAGAAAGAGGGTGCTAATAAAGGAGCTACTGAGAAAAGAAAATCTAGATATACTCCTAATTTAGGAATCTAAGCTCATGACATTTAATAGTAGGTGGCCAGAAGTGTATGGAGAGAAAATGGCATCAGTTGGGCAATGAGTCCCTCATGGGGAACTTCTGGAGAAATAGTGACTATGTGGAAAAATGAAGTTGTTGAAGGAGTTGAAGAATTGATTGGAAAATTCTCAATTTCTGTTAAATTCAAATAGGTGGGTGATGGTTTTGAATGGGTATTAACTAATGTATATGGCCCCAATGGATACAATCAAAGGAGTGAGTTGTGGGAAGAGCTATGAGACATAAGAGGATCATGGGAAGGTCGTTGGTGCTTAAGAAGGGATTTTAGTGTAATAAGGTTCACTAAGGAGTATAGCAAGATGCGGAAAAGAAACACTACAAGTATGAGGAAATTCAATGAGTTTATCAATGTGTTTGAGATCAAAGAATTGAATTTGTCGCATAGTCGGTTTACTTGGTCAAATCTCCAAACTGATCCAATTTGTTCAAAATTAGATGGATTTTTGTTTACTACTGATTGGGAAGAATATTGGGGAGATCTGTTGTCAATGACACTGCTTAGGGTCACCTCTGATCATTGGTCAGTTTTGATTAATAAGGTGAATCCTAGGAATAGAGGATATATCCCATTCAGATTTGAAAACATGTGGTTATCCCATCCAGGTTTTAAGGGGATTATGGGAATGTCCTTGGTGCTTAGTAAGGGATTTTAATGTAATGAGGTTCACTAAGGAGTGTAGCAAGATGCGACAAAGAAACACTACAACTATGAAGAAATTCAATGAGTTTATCAATGTGTTTGAGCTCAAAGAACTAAATATGTCGCATAGTCGGTTTACTTGGTCAAATCTCCAAGCTGATCCAATTTGTTCAAAATTAGACGAATTTTTGTTTACTACTGATTGGGAAGAATATTAGGGAGATCTGATGTCAAGGACACTGCTTAGGGTCACCTCTAATCATTGGCTAGTTTTGATTAATAAGGTGGACCCTAGGAATAGACGACCTATCCCATTCAGATTTGAAAACATGTGGTTATCCCATCCAGGTTTTAAGGAGAAAGTGAAAGAATGGTGGGTAGCAAGTGATCCAAGGGCTAATTGGGAGGGTATGAAATTTCAATGGAAGCTGAAGGAGTTGAAAATTAAAATCAAAGAATGAAATATTCTCTAATTTGGGAGGCTTGAAGAAAGAAAACAATAATTGATGAATCAGATTGAGGAGCTAGATGCAAAAGAAGAACAATGTGAGTTTGGGGAAAGGGACAATGAGCTTAGGTGGGAGTTGAGGAAAAACCTGGAGGATGTTCACTTCAAAGAAGAAATTAGCTGGAGACAGAAGTCCAAACATAAGTGGGTAAAAGAGGGAGATAGAAACACAAAATTTTTTCATGTTGTAGCCAATGGCAAGAGGAAGAAGAACTTGATATCCAAGCTAGTGATAAATGATGCAATATTGACTCAGCAAGAAGAGATTGAAGGGGCCTTTGTGAACCATTTTAAATCAATCTTTAAAAGGCTTATATCGAGTAGATTACAGATTGAGGGTTTGGAGTGGCCAAGACTACCGGAAGAGTCAAGGGTGTGGTTAGAGAGAAGCTTTGAATTGGAAGAAATAAGGGTAGCCATATTTTCAATGAATTGATCTAAAGCACCTGGTCCTGATGGTTTTATGATGGCTTTCTATCAAGACTGCTAAGAGATTCTAAAGGATGACATCCAAAAAGTGTTTTTTGAATTCTTTGTAAGGGGGGGTGATTAATCCAGGCCTCAATTCCACATTCTTGGCTTTGATCCCAAAAAATGGAGATGCCTATCACCCCAAAGAGTTCAAACCCATTAGCTTGGTACACAACCTTTATAAAATCATTGCTAAGGTGCTTTCTTGGAGGATTAGAGAAGTTATATACTTATTAATTTCCCCAAATCATAGTGCCTTTGTGAAGAGTAAACAAATTGTGGATCAAATCCTGATTGCAAACGAAAGTGTGGAAGACTTCAAAAGAAGTGGGAAGAACGGGTCAGTGTGCAAATTGGATCTTGAAAAGGCATATGATATGGTGGATTGATCACTTTTACTGGAAGTCTTAGAGTCTTTTGGATTTGGACAGAAATGGTGCAAGTGGGTGAAAGGATGTATTAAGACTTGCCACTATTCCATCTTGGTGAATGGGAGGGTGGTAGATCATTTCTAGGCTACCAGGGGTATCAGGCCAGGAAACCCCCTTTCTCCTTTCTTATTTACTCTAATTGTTGAAGACCTAGGAAAACTCATTGAGAGAGCATACTCTAGAAATTTGGTGAAAGGTTGGAGGGTAGGAAGGAATAAGGTCTTAGTAACATATTTACAGTTTGTTGATGACACAATTCTTTTTTTGTGGTGGGGAGGAGGTGAGCTGGGTGAATAACCTAAAGCAAGTGATCAATGTTTTTGAAAAGGTGGTTAATCTTAAAGTTAATTTGGACAAGAGCTATGTGATTGGAATTAATTTGAGTGAAAGTGAGATGGAGGATAGGGCCTGCACTTTGGGATGTGATATCGCACAATGGCCATTGATCTATTTGGGGTTACCACTAGGGGATGACCCAAGTAAAAAGAGTCTCTAGAACCCGATGATTGAGAGATTCACTAAGAGGTTAGCATCTTGGAAGAAAAATTACCTATCCATGGGAGGTAGAATAACTTTGATCAAATCTACATTGGCAAATCTGCTAGTGTACTTTTTGTCGATGTTTAGAATGCTTGGAGGAATTTGTGGGATTTTGGAGAAATTAATGAGAGACTTCTTATGGGAACCAGGAGAGGAGAAAAAAGGTCATAGGGTCAGGTGGGATATAGTTACCAAAACCAAAAATGATGGTGGGCTTGCTTTAGGTAATTTGTAGAAAAAAAAATGAAGCTCTGCTGGAGAAATGGCTTTGGAGAATGACTTTGGAAAGGGATAAATTATGGGCTCAAGTGGTCTTAAGTATTCATGGGCAAGCGGCTGATGGCTGGGACTCTAGAGCTTCAGTTAGGGCTATGAGAGCTTCTCCATGGAAATCAATTCATGCCATCCTTCCTTCTTTCCTTCCTCTAATCAAGTATGATATGTGCTCTGGTAACCTTGTAAAATTTTGGGATCATGTTTGGGTGGGAGACATTCCGCTAAAGGAGCTCTTCTCGTCTTTGTATTCTCTATCATGTTTCAAAAATGAGCCAGTTTCCACTTTCTTCTTCTAGTTCATCCATTGATTGGAATTTGGGTTTTAGAAGGGCCCTTAGAGACATGGAATTGAACCTCATTGCTAATCTGCTAAAAATCCTTGAGGGGGTGACTATTGATCCACTCAGGAGGGATAGTAGGATTTGGACTCCTTCTCCTTCAGGTGTCTTCTCATGTTCATCATTCTTCAAAGTATTGGCTCATTCCCCACCTATCTTTGGAATCCCTTTTCCAGTTTTGGAAGTCTGGGGTAGACCAATTCCTCCTAGAGTTAGTGCATTTTGTTGGGAAGTTTTCCTTGAAAAATGTAATGCTTGCGACTTACTTCAAAGAAAAATGCCTAATTTGTGTTTATTCCCACACTAGTGCATTCTTTGTAAGAAGAATGGTGAGAATTGTTATCACTTATTGGTTTCTTGTCCATTTGTTTCAGAAATCTGGTGTTGGTTTTTCTACCTTTTTGGATGCAGGTGGACCCCTCCCTCAAATGTACAAAGCCTACTCCATTCTATTACTGTTAGGGGGATGAAGAAGAGAGGGAAAATTCTATGGAGATGTGTAAGAGTAGTTGTATGTTGGACAATTTGGGAGGAAAGGAACCAACGGACCTTTCATGAGAAAGAAAGAAATAAAGGTGTAATTACTGAATTAATTTCCATAAGGGTGATTCAGTGGGCTAAAACTTTGAACATTTTTGAAAACTATTCAGAAGGAGATATCATCAGGAAGTGGAAAGAAGTGGCTTGGCCAATTCCAAGGAAGAATGTAATTTACCCAATTTGGTCCCCACCAGTTTCAGGGTTCACTAAATTAAACTTTGATGGAAGTAGCAAAGGAAATCCAGGTTTGTCGGGTATAGGGGGAGCTTTCAGGGATGATGAAGGTCAAATTATCGCATTGTATTCGGGTCCTATTGGCTGAGGGGACTCTCTTAGAGCTGAAATATTGGCTGTTATGGAAGGGTTAAAATGAGCTCAAGAATTAAATATCAAAAATTTGATAGTGGAAGGTGATTCTAATTTGACTATCAACTGGTTAATGAAAGATGATTTGAATTTGTGGAAGTTTTTGAATGAAAAGAAGAAAATTAGATATCTCATGCAAAATATGAAAGTCAAATTTCATTAGCTAAACAAGGGGTAGGAAGAGAAAATTTGTTTTGGGCAACATTGTAATTGAAATGTTCTCTTGGGAGGGTTAAGTGTTTTTACCCCTCCCTTTATATTTTTCTATATTAATATTTCTTAATAAAAGTATTTGTTATTTATCAAAAAAAAAAGTTTAGGGACCAAAGTGGCAAGGCCCAAATTAAAAGATACTTATCGAGAAATTTCCCAATTTCAAAATATTATTATCGTAGGGAGTAGGGACCGGGTTTTGGTCATATTTTCAAATTTTCGAAATTTGAACGCGGGCTAATTCGCTCCTTTTACTTACTGAATAGTCTCCACCTTCCATGTTCCATGGATTGAAAAGTTCAGAAGATTTTTTTTTTTTTTTCTCTCTCGCAGAAGAAAAAATCTCAGCTGGTTGAGCTTCCTTCCTCCCTTAATATAAATCATCTACTTCGGCATCAAATTGTGCGACATGGAGGAGAACTCCATGAAATTGATCTTTGAGAAAGGACCAAGAAAGGGAGAAATGATAGAGTGCAAGCCTGGATCCTTGGTCCGAATCGGGAGAGTCGTCAGAGGCAATACCTTCTCCATCAAAGACGCGGGCATCTCTTCCAAGCATCTGTCAGTCGAGTTCAAAGACGGAAAATGGGTTGTTTTAGACCTCGAATCCTCCAATGGTACCATCGTAAGTGGCATCAAGCTCCAACCGCTGTTGCATTATGATCTCAAAGACGGAGACGTGATCAAGATCGGAGAGTTGACGTCTATCAAGGTGAAGATCGAAGAACAAAACGAGTCGGATAAAGGTGCCAGAAGGACGGGGAATAATCGGGTTTCTTTTGAGGTCGTAGATGACTCAGGTCTGGAAAACGCAAATAATCGACTGAGAAGAAATCCAAGACGAGGAGCGGCTTCAAAAAAGGAACCGGCGGCGTCTGCCGTGGGATCTCGTTCTGGAGTTCAGAAGATCCCTGAAGCAGTAGAGAATTGTACTGAACGGGAGATTTCGGCTCCCCTTGCAAAACGATCCCGGGGTGCAGCTGCAAAAAGGACAAGGGCCTCGAAAAACGAGGCTCCGGAGACTTCTGAGGTCCAGGAGGTTCGTAAAAAACCAAATTTAAGGACAAGGCACGGTAAGGAAGTGAAAAATGAAGCTACTTTTGCAGAGAACCAGACTCGGCAAGGGGATCCAATGATTAGGGCTTCGACGATAGATCTTCAGGAGTCAGCTCCTCAGGTGCTCAAAACTGCTGACGAGAATGAGAGTTTGGATTTGGATAAAGAGAGATGTAGAGAATCACAAAATGCGGCACCTGCTGAAAAGAAACAGAGGGGGCGAGTAGTTCGAAAAAGGACAAGAGCTTCAGAGGATGACGAAGCTATTGATTCAATTTCTGCTTCGCAAGTTTGCAAGATTCCTAAAATTTCAAATGCAGGCCAAGGGAGTCTTATAGAAGAACGTGTTGGGGCTGCTGTCGAAGAGGAGGGGCAACAAATGGCTCCGGAAACTACTAGGACTCCAACAAAAGAGCCTCCAGAGTGTGTTACTGTTCCTAGTTCTGAGGCTCAGGATATCCCCCAGGAATCACATTTACAGGAAGGAAATTGCAGAGCATCTTCGAGTACAACTGCAGCCAGAGAAAATTCTATCAAGGTCGTTGACATAAAGGAATTGGAAAAGATGACTTTGGGTGAATGGTTTGATTATTTGGAGGTTTATTTGCCAAAACAGATATATGACATTACAGAAGAAATAATTTTGAGTATGAGAGAGAGTGCTAAGCAATATAATGAGCTTATGTCACGGCACATTGAGGAGGCTAAGTTACCAGATGCTTAGATAGAGGAATTGCTTTACAGGTAAATATCAACTATTGTGTCTATGTATGGCATTGTATACTCCTTTATCATGAATTGAGAATAGTTACTCTACTTTTTGCCTGCTCTAGCCTTGAGAAGGTATTATTTGTATAGTGCAAATGTAATGCCTTATTAGGTTTTTTGGGCTCTTGTTCGTTTGTTCTCTCAAGACCCTGTACATCCTCTCAAGTACACTTTTCCTCTTTTTGTTTATGATATAAGTTGTGTTTCTCCAAAATCTTGATTTGGAGGAAGCTCAATTACAATTTGATGGATACTCTATTGTAATTCTAGGACCAGCCAGGATTAGGAGTTGTCTTAACTTTTGGTCAGCCCATTGCTGATGCAGACTGGATTCTGGAAGGATGGAGTCATGATTTTTGCATTTGTACTTCAAGAGCCTGTTTAAGAAATTCTTATCCTTAACAGTGGAGTTTGAATCAATTAATGCTATCATTATTGGAGAGAGAGAGCTTAAAAGGGTCTATTTGTATCTTCTTAATGGAATTAAATTATTACTTCTGAGACTCTCTTCTTCTATTATTGTGTTATGGCTTCAGGCTGAATTCTAGGGCCTAAAAGTTGCTGCTGATGAGCTAAGACTCAAGGTGTATTGTGAGCCATCTTGACTGTGTCATGTTTTTATATAGTTGTGTAGCTTGTGCAATTTGAGCTGGTTAGAGGATTCTGTTTCAGGCTCCCTCCTCGCACTTGTAGTGAAGCAAGGAGATTCCATTCCAGTGGGAGACTGGTGTTTGGGTTGAATTTGAAACTTTGTTTCTGGATTCCCGAGTGAGAAAAGGCTTGACTTTTGGGGCCATAGAAAGGTCATTACCCAAGGAGGTCAACTATACATCCATAATGCTCCTATGCTCCACTGCAGCTTCTACTCCATATGTTAAGGACCATTACCCAATGTTAGTCTGTTGCTGCTAAGGAGATACAGCAGCTTAACCTTCAGCATGCTAGTCCTGACTATTTGGAGATGACATTCTTTTGTGGCATCCGCCCAAACAACCTCATAGCAGCCTCTCATAGGGGTGTCAATTGGACTGGATTGGGTCCAATCCAATCCAAACTGAATGGAACATAAAAAATTACATGAAAACCCAGAAAATATAAAAAACCTACAGAAATATATTAGAAATTTCACAAAAAATATAAAAATACATAAAAGGCGTGGAAGATTAGAGTCTTCCTTTAAACAAACTCTTTCTTTTAGGTTCAATCATTGGATTATTGTACAAGACTTTGTAATCTAACACTAAAAAGGCCTCATCTTCCTTCCAGGCGTTGCCAAATCATCTGCTATCTTCACTACATCAGAAGAAGCGCCAGAGAGCTCTCTCCTTATGAACCCAACTGCATAAAGTCCTGCCTTATCTTTCTACCCATTTGGAAATGGAAACTTTGGAAACTCTTTATTGGAGAAGTCACTCTCCTGTAAAAATAGAAATATTGAAAGCAATTTCAGTCCATTTATCCATTTGTTTTTATATAAATATTTATTCATGAAACCAAACCTACATGACTCATCAAGATTTCAAACCGAGTCTATCAGTTTATGACAGTTCAGTGGTTTGTGTTCATTAGCATTCAAACTATGCTAATCCAAACACACTCTTACTGTATCAACATATTAATAAATAACACGCATTAGCATACTATGCAAGCACACTCTCTTGTCTTGTTTGAGAATTCTACCTGCATCAGGGACTCTCTTGTGACTATCAGGTATACACACTCTTTCATTGTCACAACCAAATACTCTCTTATTGCTCTGTAGTTTGGAAATCTGATTCACTTTGGGATGACTCCAGAGTAATACAAAAAATTCCTGTGTAGTTCAGCAGTTGTAATGAACTAATACAATCTTTCAAAGTCATTTTGGAGGTTAAGCAGGAGATTTTTTTCCAGCAGAGTTGGGCAAGAACTTCAAATGAAGCTAAAACATCAATATTCACACACACACACACACACTGAACACATAAATTTCCAAAAGTGATCAATGTTCATTAACTACTGCTAAATGCCCTCTGCAAGCTGCAGTTATAAGAGGTGTTGCATTTGATGGACCAAGTGTATTGCCTAGCCCTGGGCCGTGGTCTAGTAGCACCTGGACAATGACTATAAAAATAGTCACTAGAGTCCTTGACAGAATGGAGGTTTTTTGAAAACAAGAAATTACTCAAACAATGCATTTTGTTTTTCTACAATCAACATTCTACGATTTGCACAAAATTATGAAGATTGGAATATAAGTTTTCTGCAATAGTGCTAGTATTTTTTTTTTTTTGGTTTAGTTTTTAATCTTCTTTTTTTTGGTAAAGATTCTTCTTTATCTCATAGAGACAAAATCATCACTAGCCTAAGCTAGCTCAAAAGCCAACATCCACTCACAACCCTTGAAATGACTTACAACAATATCTTATAAAAAAAAAGAAAACAAATTCATATTTTCAAAATCCAATTGTTCCATCAGCAAACCCATGATGGGTGATCCAACATCATCCAATCATCAAGTATTTAATTTTTTCCCTTCAAATACCCTTTATGCTTTAGTACTTTTGCAGATGCAAACAATATGGAAATCCAAAATATTTTTGCCTTTTTTGCCAATAGAAAATCAAATCTATAATGAAATAAAAGAACCTCTTTTGGATGATAATATCTGTACTTAGGAATGCTGATTAGCTCAAAGAAGCAAGTCCAAATTTACAAAATGCATACTTGTATTCTCAAATTTGTACATAGGTACATGGATCTTTTATTTAATGACCACATTAAGGCTTCAACCCATGTTCTCATGCTTGACAATCTGGGATTTTACCAGAACTTCAAAAATCTTTTATATACGTCTTTTCCTCTAGTAAAATATTTAATTTACTAATTTGTTTTCTTGCAAAAATAAACTAGAAGGTGCTAGCAAAAACCAAGGGCTGATATGTTTTCTTGTATTGCTAAGCTGCTGATTTGAAAGAAATCACTGTAAAAGAAAATCAAAGAGATAAATATACAAATAAGACTAAGGGCTGTGAATCCCACCAGTTTATAAATGGGGGAACACCAAGCATAACCATGTAACCAAAATTGCAAACACCATCAAGAACCGTCAAGTTTCATAAATTGTAAATTGTTGATACATTGAGAAACAAACGCTATGTTTCAGATCACGCCTTGTGGATGGGCAGAAGTCAGATCCGCTGCATGCAAATCATATCTCTGTAACCTACAAAGCTTGACCTCTTGTTTAGAAGCTGATAGGCTAGCTCTACAGTATGGGTGGTAGGTTACCATTTTGTGCCATGTCCATTGTTAAATCAAGTGTGCTACCATTTTGTGCTTTATGGCAAACATAGACATATAATCTGATTCCTTTGTACTCCAACAATTCAATGTCAAATGTCTAAAGTTACACGACTGCTTTCTTTTAGAATTTCCACTCAAGAACAGCATGCCCTTTCACTAAAATAGTGCACTACCACCAAAAAAAAAAGATGATTTCAGACATGGATGTAAGGAACCTGAAAATAAAGGAGATTAGTATGTTGTTCTATCGCCGAAGAATCCTTGAAAAGGAAACGCATTCTGAAGGAATCCCACAACTTAACCATAGAATCCACACACAAGAAAAATATCTTTTCCATCCCCAAGTCTTCCCCAGTTCCAATACTTCACCCAATTTGGTCCTACTTAAAAGCTGCACTACATTGGGTGCTCTATGCAGAAACAGGACTGGATAGTTCATCTAATCAATTCCTAGATATAACTTTCTCAAGAAACTCAGTTGCATTTTGACAGTTTTTCTATAGGGAACAAATACCTGCCCAGAAACGAACCTTACATAGGAAATAGAAAAGAGAATAATATTTGCTCTATATAGGCCCAGTGATGAGGCAAACTTGACAAATTTGGAGCCAATGGCCCTTCAGTTTGTGGAGTTCATTTCAGGTCCTCAATCTAGTTTGTCAATCAATAACAAACAGTAAGGACTCCTAGAAAAAGAAAATTAAAATTACACAATCTGGAACTGTTACAGATCTGGTTTTGGAAAAAAAAAAAAAACACTAGCGTTTGTTTAATAATCTCAACATCCAAGTTTTGACATGTACACTGAAAATATATTAAAACTTCGAAATAATCACTAACTACATAACCAAATTTAAAGTGCCCACATAAGAAGAATAATTCCGAACAGCTTAATTTCTGGTATGCGCTATATCAAGTTCTCTCTTTAAATCCTGACGTCATAAGAACAGCAAACACTAAAAAGTAAAATTAAAAAAAAAAAAAAAAAGAGAATGAGAAACAGAGGCTTTAAGGCTACAGAGGACTGCAGAGGTAGTAGAAGTAAAGTTTTTAAAACCGACCGGACAGGGAACCGTTCTGGGGACCAGTTATTGGGTCAAACGGTCTGACCATCTGATTTAAAAAGTAAAAWTAAAAAAAAAAAGAGAATGAGAAACAGAGGCTTTAAGGCTACAGAGGACTGCAGAGGTAGTAGAAGTAAAGTTTTTAAAACCGACCGGACAGGGAACCGTTCTGGGGACCAGTTATTGGGTCAAACGGTCTGACCATCTGATTTTTGGTCCGTTCTGACTTAAAAAAATAAAAATAAAAAATGACCAAAAACTGTTGTCCGTATTGATGGTTCAACCACCCAGGTCAGTGGGTCACTGACCAAATCAATCATTTTTGGTCAAAAGCGGTTTTAAGGTGAAACGGAACCGGTTACCTGACTGGTTCCTGATTTTTCCAGTCTGAACATCCAGTTCGATCCGTTTTTGAAAACCATGAGAAGAACTCACCTCTTCAGCTGCCAGAAGAACTCTGAAAAGGGAAAAAGTTCTTTGCTTCTGTACTTAGCTTCCTAAGCTTTCCTTAATATGCTGCGAGAGAGAGAAACCCTCCTTGGCCTTCCATGTTCTGAGGCGCTGAAACTGAAATTGCCGGAGAGAAATTATAGGTGTAATGTGAGCGGTGCTGGGCCGGCACGGCATAGTTTTGCTGTGTTGCTTGCACTGTAGTGGCTGTGCTGGCAAGGCCATCGCAGGCTTAGGCCCATGGCGACCTGTGGGCCTTAAACCCCTAGCCCAGCACGGCCCACATTGTGCTGGTTTAGTTTAGAGTTTAGACCAATAAGAGAAACTATAAATGCTGCCAGAGAGAGAAGGGCCATCAAAGAAAGAGAGTGATTGTTTCTCAAAGGCAAGGTTTTAAAAACTGGACCGGACATGTAACCGTTTTGGCTACTGGTTTTTGGGTCAACTGTCTAGTTCGAACGAATGACCCGTTTTGATTAAAAAGTAAAAATTTAAAATAAAATAATTAAATAAAAAATGACCAAAAACCATTATTCAGGTTGACGGTTTGATTGCCTGGGTCAACGGGTCGCTGACCAAATCAATGGTTTTTGATTCAGGACCGATTTTAGGGTGAAACAAAACCGATTGCCTGACTGGTTTCTGGGTCAACCAGTCCGGTTTTCAAAACCATGCCCAAAGGGACCCTCTCTGATATGCCACTGGAGAGAGAGAGAGAAGGGGGTGGGAGATCCTAGACTGTTTAGACTTCCATTGATTGAGTGGACGATTGAATGCTTTGAGTCTTTGGATTTTATCCGATTCGGTCCGCTTAAGTACTGGACGATAAAACTTTTGACTGGTCCAATCCAATGTAACACACTTTGGACCGTCTAAACCGATTTAATTGGTTATGGTTCGGATGGGGTCTAATCCGAATTCGATCTATTGACAATCCTTGATGGTTTGGACCATCACATTAGAAAATGAGCCTTCAAAAAATTGGATGTTTCTGGATTGTAGGTGGTATACCTTAGCATAAAATCTTCTCTTTTTATTCATTTTCTCTTCTTATCTTGGAGGGAATCCTAAAATTTTAATACATGTATCACAAATTTCCTTGTTAAGGGCTTTTATTACCATCCGTGATGAGGGGGGAAATAGTGTCAGGCTTCAAAAATTGGAAAGTAGGATCCAAACAAGATATCAGTGAATCATTAAGGCTGTATGGTAACCCTTTGTAATGCAGAGTTATAGACTACTGGCATTACAAATTATTTACTCTCTCTCTTTCTCTCTCCATTGTTCAATCACTATTGTTCATGGCCAACATGAAGAAGACGGTTTTCAACCATTTCCTACAGAGCAAGGAGGAAGAGGAAAAAGAGAAGAAGAGTGGCGCCCCTCGTAGTCTCCATGCCGAATGGATGGTGATAAGAGATGAGCCTCCACAGCTCTTGGATCTTTATCCGTGGGAGATAAAGAAAGTACTCACAGAAAGCGATGTTGGACGGTTCAATGGGCTGGATTTGGACTATGATCATGTCTGCGATCATATCCTCCCTCATTGGGACCGTCAAGTAGTCTGCAGTGTGATCAACCGTGGAGAGCAAGTTCCAATTGTTGTAAGGGATCTAGACACTTGCACAAAGCACAATTTGTACTTAAGGAAGTGGGCGAATGATACTACCTTCACAATCCATAACTACTGGACCAAAGAATTCGTGGAACGTAGGGGTCTCAAAGAGGGGGAATTGATTGGGATGTACTGGGATCCCAGATCCTCTTCCTTGTGCTTCTCTGTATTGAATCGCACTAGTAATAGTAGTTGATCCTGATGTCTCCTGCACCATGAAATTGGATTTAGTCTTCACAGACCTTTGCAGCCGTGCATTGGGAATATGTCCCTATGAATAAAAACATGATTATGGAGATATTCTTAGTGCACAGCTGCAAAAGGCTGCAAAGATGGTTTTGTGAGGACTAAATTCAAATTCATCTCCGACTTGGTAACCTAGTTTTTCATTTCTCGTTTTTTATTCTTTTCTTTTTCTTTTTCTTATGGTGAGCACGGTTTTCCATTTAGTTGATTTATTTGTATGGCTCATTGAACAAATTATCATTTACCAGCAATCTTTCTCTCTCTCTCTAAAGGCCAATTGATAATGGCTAAAGTGACCGAATTGAATGTGTGTGTGTGCGTGTGTCATTTTGTTCAGCCTCTTCAACTGCTATCAAAAGGCACCAATTCATGTGCTTCTCCCCAAACAAAAAGAAAATTTAAAAAAACAAAAAGGAATCCCAACCCAACTGGGGACAGAAGTAGAGGATCATAACTAACCTAAGACTTGACTTTCTTGCTTCCCCCAAAAGGATATATAAAAGATAAGTAACCACAAGCATCTCTCCAACTTGATTTTAAGCCTAATATTTCTGGGTTCACATGAGGTAGACCACGTTTAATGAGCACTTGAAAATTTTTTTGACACCTCTCTCTTAAAATACCCTCACTCCACCCTTAAAAAATAATAATACCCACCCTTGACAGTTGTCAAAATATTTATCAAGTGTTCATTAACGTGCTTACTTTGATGTGCCTACTAGATCCAGTCCCAATATATCTGCAACATGGAATTCATCCCATGGTGAATGCCACTTCTGATTTCCTAGAAACACCCAACAATTCAAAATATATCTTTCAAATCCATGGTTCAAGGTATCAATTCTCTAGCTCCATTTGCATATCAAGAGTTTCGGTAGATCGAAACATTCGACGTTTTTTATTTGACTTTCTGAGAGGCCATTTATTTGACATCCCAACTCCTACACCAGGGATGTCTATTATTAGCATCAAACCCAGCCCAAACCAAAGCAAAATGGGTACAAAGTAACAAACTGATCATAGACAGCAGAAGACAAGATACAAAATCTTTCAACTTTTTCTTTTTTTTGTAAAGCAAAATTCTGTGTAATTTTGACAGTGTTCTAATTGTAGATCAGCGAACAGGAGAAGAAAAGAAGATAACAATAAAATAAACAAAGAATCCAGCAATTAGGATTCCTCCGTAGATGAAGGCTTGATAAGACTGCACCGGAAACTTATATCCAATTTCACAACACTTCATTCTCTCTCTCTCAGTTGCCAAAACACGATCCACGTACCTGTTCAAAATATGCAGGCAACTTATCATAGAGAACAGAAAACAGCAGGGAAATACAACTGAATCTAAGTGGGAGGACATGGTTGCATGTAAAAGGCTCTTTCACAAGGGAAAAGATAATACGAAAGCATACTTTTGTGAATGCTACAGGATTTGCATAAATGAGCAATTATTTTCATGTAAAAACTTAGATTCGAGAATCAACCAATGTCATTAAGCAGCATCGTTTAAGGTGGGGCCTTGAGGGATCCCGGTGGTTATCACTTGACAGGTGTATTTATTTGGAAGGGCAGAGTTGGAATGTCATGTGATATGTTACTTTGCAGCATATTCTTAGGCCCCATTTGGTTCATGGGAATAGGGTTTTGGAATTGGAACCGGAATGTACGATTCTAATTGTTTGGTTGGGGAGGAACCGGAATCCCATTCCCATTCCTGGTGGAATGACATTCCCCATTTGAGGGAATGGCCATCCCCCCCCCCCCTAGATACCATTTCAGCTTATTACAATTCCGGTTCTGATTCACATTCCAATTCTGAGGGATTCCGGTTTCCACTGTGAATCAAATGCACCCTTAATTTCTTATTGAGCCATTTAGTAAGGATGCCGTATTCTTCGCATCGAACAATCAATACAAATCCTTTCTACTAATATCTTTGCATGGAAGAACCAGCAAGTGAACGTTGATCATTGTAGAATGTAGAGTCCAATGGTGTGACACCTAGCATGCAGGTTATGTGCTCATATTCAATCTATCATTATCCATCTCTACTATATTCGTCTTTTTCTGTGTCCTCCCTGCTCAAACTCTAATTCCAACAAAAATTTCCCTCCCCTGCCCCCCCCCCCCCCCCAAAAAAAAAAAATTAATTAATTAATTAATTAAACAAAGAAAGAAAAAAATAAATGATAAACAAATTTCCCTGTACTTGTTTGTCCAAAATGCCCATATTCTCTAGTGGCATAATTGATTGTTGAAGAGGTGCCTCCCTCCCTCCCTCGGTCACAGGTTCATGTTCTTAATTATATGAACTGATTCCTTTTATGTTCTATTTATGTTCTAGGGGCCATTAGTTGGTGAAATGGCAAAATTTCAGGCAAGTAAGAGTGAAAATGCAGGTTTAGTCTGCAGGCAGTCACTTTGGACTCCGGATCTCCTGCTCACGAGAACTCTGCCCACACCTACCCACAATACACTACCCCCCGTGAATTGGGAACATCTTCCCCTGCAACTATGCAGAGGATGAGATGTTCTCCATGTGTGGCTGTGATAAACGTGGGCAGAGTTCTCATGGGCTGGAGATCCGGACTTGTCACTTTGTACACAAAAAGGCCAAAGGTTAGGACCATACCTAGTCCACTCCTCCCAAGACCCCAGATAGCTGGGACCAACATTGGATAATGGCCTTTTTTATTCTTTTCATGCTCTAGAAAGTAACATGACACACATTTTCTTTGTATTGGATTATTTCTGATAAGTTAAATAGAAGGATTACTTACTGCTGGGTAAATATAGAACTTTGGAGTATTTCTGAGCTGTTCGTGTGTGCATCCACTAACCGATGATCATATAACAGTGAAGAAAGATCCGCGAGTTGCTCCTCGAGACTCTGTTATACAAGTTTATCCAAGGGAACGTCTTATTATCTAAAAGAGTATTTATATCTTCAAAATGCTTTAACAATCTGTTGGATACACATTAAGAGTGACTTACATCCAAGTATTTCTCCAACCGTTCAACTAACTCATGTGGGAAAGGTTCAGGTAAGGTGGTGGTTTTCTTGTAAAACTTCCCCAGCCAAAGCTCGGTAGTTGACTTGTTCCTTTTGCCTTTTACTGGTTCTCCAAGTGGTGTTTTCAGATAGTCAGCAGCAAAAGCTTGGATGGCCTGTACTAATGAGAAGAGGATTGAGAAATTTCGAACTTTATGACACATAATGGTTGAATGTAAGATCACCCTTACCTCTGAAGTATCCCGAATTTTGTGAAGTGCAGAATCTACACGTGCATATATAGTGCTCCTCTGCCAACAAACGGGAAGAAAGGAATAAAAAAATCCTTTATTGAGTAATCATATTTAATGTTAACAGATTTCCACCCACAAGCAGTAGAAGCAATGAGAGGCACATATGTATCAATTATAATCACAGTAGAAGTGTAATAACTATACGTGGTTAAACAAGAATAAATGACAACCACAAGAACAAAATTAGGTCTCCATGAAGTTGAAACAAAACACCCAAAGAAAATGGTCTACCAACACCCGATGGAACAATGAACACCATATATTGGTGGGGTGGGGTGGGGTGGGGGGGGGGGTAAAACATACTCAAGCTGATCTCACTTTCATCTTTGGAGATCTAAAGAGGCCATTACCTAATATTGATCCCAGCTATCTGGGATTTTGAGATGGGTCGACTGGATACAGACCTAACCTTGGCACTTTATTTACAAAGTAACTGCTCTCAGACTTGAAACCATGTTATCGTCCTTGTCAGGATAAAATTTTACCATTATATCAAGCAATGACCCCTCCATTTCGGAGATCTCTTGGGCCAAAATAAACTTGTTACTATCTGATTACTGTAGTTTCATCCCTAAATCATTCACACTGTTCTCTTTCTTGAGTTAAAAATTGGTAAAATGTAGTTTTCAGGTACCTCCTACATGATACCAATCAACAGATAGGTCATAGCATTATTATTAGGCCCCACCCCTTACATTTGCAACAGCCACCATGCATGCAACTGGACTGCAAGTAGACCATCTTTATAGTCTAAGAGAGAGTTACTATAGATTTCCACTCACATGAAAGAGAAAGCCCAAAAGCATCCGTTTTATAGATGTCTAGTTTAAATTACATGCTTTATGAATAATTGAAATTTTGATGGAGCACCATAACTATTTGAAAACAGTTCACAAATACTATATAAAATGAGGCAAAAGTTATATTGACCTCACCAAGGCAACATCCTGAAGAATTTGACTGATTTGAGAAGTGTTGGAGAATGGTCCAAATGGATGACAACCTGTTGCCCAAAGCCAATTCAGAACTGGTCTTTCATGCACATATGAAGCCTTCTCATATGGTGCACTAAGTCCACCCACAGCAGAAACCAGGCCTGCCAATATGTGGCGTTGTGCTTGTGATGGAAAAGCATATCTTCTCTCTGTTTCTGAAACATAACTGAGCAAGAAAAAAAATAAGCAAGATAAAATGTAACAATAACAATGATCCTAGACTTCTATGTTTTCTAACAGTAGTAAATGATGATAAACATTGACATTTTCTTAAATGAAATGCAAAATTGCTAATGAGAAAAAAAAAAGATTAAACAAAAGCGACCATGTATACATATGGAATCTGGAAATATCCTCTTTAGTGAGGAAATGTGCCTCTTGAGCTGGGTAGTTCTAGATCTGCAAGTATGGATGGACAAACTACAGTATCCATGATATCTAAAATATACTACAATATTCTCCATTATCCACTATCCTGCAACTTTATTTTCAATGCAAGCAAGGGAGACATGGAAATTGTTCGGTACAAAAGTGTCCAGTTCAGCAAGTCCAAAAAACTAGAATTCAGGGACTTCAGTGCTATATCTTAGTTTTAAATTACACTTTCTAGAAGTATATCATTTATGTAATATAAACATAAATGATGAGA